GAGATGGTGAGTTCTAGTCCCACCATAGAGGTATGGAAGCTGACTGGGTGACTTTGGGCCAATCACCAGGAGATGGTGAGTTCTAGTCCCACCTTAGAGGCATGAAAGCCTGCTGGGTGACTTTGGGCCAATCACCAGGAGATGGTGAGTTCTAGTCCCACCATAGAGGTATGGAAGCTGACTGGGTGACTTTGGGCCAATCACCAGGAGATGGTGAGTTCTAGTCCCACCATAGAGGCATGAAAGCCTGCTGGCTGACTTTGGGCCAATCACCAGGAGACGGTGAGTTCTAGTCCCACCTTAGAGGCATGAAAGCCTGCTGGATGACTTTGGGCCAATCACTAGAGACTAGATTGTTCTAGTCCCACACGCTAGTGAAATTGTGCACAAATTTCAACTTTGCAGAAACTGAAGCACAAAGAGCAGAATTGCAGAAATCGAAAGAAATCTGTCTGGCCAAGTCCAGTCATTTCTTAATAGTTGGCCTTGCCATTTTTTTATTTTAAAATTTAACCTCTGTCTTTTATAAACCGGCTGCGTCCCGTTATAAACTTTGCAACCGGTTTCAGCCAGCCCTGATGCGCCGGGCAAGGAGTTGCTGATAAATTTTTGCACAAAGTGACACTGTTACACACCATTACTGTACGTTCTGATTTTCTTTTTCATCCCTAATTTTTTTTTTACCTTGTGGGAGGGCTCAAAGCCATTTAGGGTTGTTGTTGTTGTTTTCTTTATTTTTATTTTTCTTCGGTAAGTTTCCATGCGCTCCATTTGGAAGCCTCACAGGCAGTCCTCAACTTACAACAGTCCATTTAGCGACCGTTTGAAGTTACATCACTGAAAAAAGGGACATGGGACCGTTTTTCACACTTAACGACCGTCGCAGGCTCCCCACGGTCACGGGGTCAAAATCCAGGCGCTTGGCAACTGACTCGTATTTACGACGGTCGCAGCGTCCCGGGGTCACGTGATCCCCTTTTGCGCCCTTCTGGCGAGCAGTCAGATTCGTTTAACAACCACATTACTATCTTAACAGCCCTGTTTCACTTAACAACGGTAGGAAGAAAGATCGTAAAAGATCGTAAGCAGGGGCAAATTTCACTTAACAGCTGTCTCACTTAGCGACAGAAACGTTGGGTTCCATTCTGGTCCTGAGTCGAGAACTATCTGCATTTGCCTATCATCTTCCCATTACACGAGTGAAGAAAAAGTCAAAATATTTTCCAGCATCCGATGGCTTCTCAGTTATTACCCTTATTGAGTGACGCCCAGACCAAATCTTTCATGCAACTGAACTCTCTGGAGTCCAAACCCTTTTTGCCCCCCCAGAGGATTGGCATTGGGGTGGGTGACATCCCCCTGCAGTGTGGGCTCTCGGGGGGGGGGGCTGGCCGCCATGCGAATTCTGCTGCCAAACAAGCCAGAAGGCGAAGAAAGGGAAAAAATTATATATATTTTAGTGCTTTCCTTTGGAAATTTGCCATCTGCAAGGAATGTTAAAACAATATCCTTCTGTTCTAGCCTGCCTAGAGATTTGCGTACATAAAAACCTGCCATTTTTTAAGTTCACCGGAAACCCCGTGGCTGACGACAAAAGCTGAAGTGACCCTGCTCTCCCATTTCCTGCAGGGGCTCCTGGTCCAGATTTGCTAAAAGACCAGCTCCAGCCTTCTTGGAAACGATGACTTTCATCCTTGCCTCCTCTCTTGAGTCCCAAGAGCCTGAGTCAACCTGGATTTATATTTTCCTGTTTTCCTTGATGAATAGAATAGAGCTGGAAGGGACCTTGGAGGTCTTCTAGTCCAGCCCTTTGCTCAAGCAGGAGAACCTATATACCATCTCAGACAACCTACTGTCTAGTCTCTTCTTAAAAATCTCTAGTGATGGGGCACCCACAGCTTCTGGTGGCAAGCTGTTCCACTGGTTCGTTGTCCTCACTGTTAATAAGTTCCTCCTTAATTCCAGGTTGCTTCTCTCTTTGATCAGTTTCCAACCGTTGTTTCTCGTCTTGCCCTCTGTTGCTTTGGAGAATAACGTGACCCCCCTCTTCCTTGTGGCATCCTCTCAAATACTGGAACGCTGCTATCGTGTCACCCCTATTTCTTCTTTTCTTTAGACCAGCCAAACCCAAGTCCTGCAGCCGTTCTTCGTATGTTTTAATCTCCAGGCCTTGGATCATCTTAGTTGCTCTTCTCTGAACTTTTGCCAAAGTCTCAACATCTTTTTTGTAGTGCGATGACCAAAATCTTTTGAGTAGTGAGTGGAGAACAAACTGCAGACACCCAGAGGTGCCCTCAACTTCTCAATCAATCAAACAATCAATCAATCAATCATAGAACTGGACGGGACCTTGGAGGTCTTCTAGTCCAGGGCTTTTCAACCAGAGGTACGGGTACCACCTGTGGTCCATTGGCACCTGGCAGGTGGTACACGACCATCCTAGAAAAGTGGTAGCAGGGGAGGGGAATGAGCTGAACCGGTGGCAGCACCGCACAAGCCTGAGCGAGAGATGGCTGGAGCTGCAGGGCTGTCAGGGCTCAGCGGAAGCGCCAGGATCAGCACCAGGATCCAGCTGGAGCTCGGTGCTGATCCTGGCGCTTCTGCTGAGCCCAGAAGAAGCGCCGATCAGCTGGAATGTTGCAGCATCTCCAGAGTCTTGTGATTTACATTCAGATGCTTGGCAACTGATTCATACTTATGACGGTCACAGTGTCCCAGGGTCATGTGAAGTGACCAAAACCTGCTGCAACCACCCAGCAGACGGGGGGAATAAAAACCAAACACCCCTCACCCCAGCCCCCCTGCCAATCCTCAACAGAAATGCTCACAACAATGGAAACCTCGGACAGGAGGAAGAGCGCCGCCGGGCGGGCAGGCAGGTGTCTTGCTCGGCTGTGGCTTGGGGGGCACTTTTTTCAGTGCCATTGTAACTTCGAACAGTCACTAAGCGAACTGTTGTAAGTCGAGGACTACCTGTACTTTATCACTTTTTTTCCTTTTGGGGGGCGAGGGGGATCATCAAGTTTTTGACACCTTGCTGGGCGACGGGTGGTGCTCGGATGTTGCCCTATCCTAAAAGTGGCACAATGGGTGAAAAGGTTGAAAAGCCCTGGTCTAGTCCAACCCCCAGCTCAGGCAGGAGACCCTATACCATTTCTGGCAAGGGACTGTCCAGTCTCTTCATAAAAGCCTCCAGTGATGGAGCAGCCACACCTTCTGAAGGCGACGCTGTCCTCGCTGTTAGGAAGTTTCTCCTTAATGACAGGGATCGTCTCAAATCTTCCAAGAGCAGAGGACTCCGGATTCTTCCGCTGGAGCCAAACACACACCATGATTTAGGTGACCTTTGCCCACCTCGGCTTCCTTTTCCAGGCCTGGGAGCCCTTTTGGTGGACCGAGATAAGACTTGGCCGGCCAGCCCTTCCCCCCTTCATATTTAGATCTTCCATCTTTATGAGTTTTCTTTAATCGCTGCAGAACAATGAGGCCCCTGGCTCAAACTTTCCTATGGAAGAGTCGGTTTCCTTTTTTGGTGCTGTGAAACAGGCCTTGTGAACTTCAGCTGCCAAGAGGCGGGCAGGAACGGCTGGGGATGGTGGCTGGGCTCCAGCCCAAAGCTTGTTTAGATTCGACGGAGGGAGGGAGGGAGGGAGCTGAGTCCGGCCCATGGAAAATCTGCTTCATGGGACGGGAAGGGGGGTGTCCAGGTTGGTGCTGAGGGGAAGGAACTGTACCAGAACACGTCTTGCTGGCTGTGCTTTTCCTCTCTTCCCTTTCTAAACAAAAGTTGGCTCTGGTTTTGAAAAGATGGGGAGACCGGTGGAGGAACAGGCGTTGCTCCATCAAGTTGAGACTACATCTAACTCTCTTTTGCTCACGGCTGCTTAACTCTTTCTGCATTGTGCAAGAACAGAATAAGAATAGAGTAGAGTAGAGTAGAATAGAATAGAATAGAATAGAATAGAATAGAATAGAATAGAATAGAATAGAATAGAATAATAAACTGGAACAGAATAGAATAGAATATATTAGAACAGAATAGAATAGAATAGAATATATTAGAACAGAATAGAATAGAATATGGGAATAGAATAGACTAGAATTAAGAATAGAATAGAATTAAGAATAGAATAGAATAGAATAGAATAGAAATAGAATAGAATAGAAATGGAATAGAGTAGAATTACAGAATAGAACAGAATTAAGAATAGAATAGAATAGGATAGAATAAAATAGAATAGAATAGAATAGAAATAGAATAGAGTAGAATTACAGAATAGAACAATAGAATTACAGAATAGAACAGAATTAAGAATAGAATAGAATAGAATTAGACAAGATTAGAAAAGAAAAGAATAGAATAGAAATAAGAATAGAATAGAATTAAGAATAGAATAGAATAGAATAGAAATAGAAATAGAATAGAGTAGAATTACAGAATAGAACAAAATAGAATTACAAAATAGAACAGAATTAAGAATAGAATAGAATTAGAGTAGATTAGAAAAGAAAAGAATAGAATAGAAATAAGAATAGAATAGAATAGAATAGATTGGAAGGGACCTTGGAGGTCATCTAGTCCAACCCCCTGCCCAAGCGGGAAACCCTATACCATTTCAGACAAAGGGCTGTTCAGTCTCTTCTTAAAAACTTCCAGCAGCATCCACATGGTCACGTGATTTACATTCGGACGCTTGGCAACTGACTCACATTTATAACCAATGCAGTGTCCCGGGTGTGTGCGTGCGTGTGTTGCGTGATCCCCTTTTTGAGACCTCCTGACGAGCAAAGTCAGTGCTTAACAACCGCGTTAACGAACGTGGCAAGAAAAGTGGTAAAACGGGTCAAGAAACTCCCTTAACCTATTTTCTCACTGCGCCACATAAATTCCGGGTCCCGTCGTGGTCGCCCGTTGATGGGAAAAGGGTGAAAAAAATGCGCCTGGCCCGGGGGCGGAAAACGACCTCTTTTCTTCCCCAAGGCTCTCCTTTCCTCCACAGGCTACGACTTCCCGGCCGTGCTCCAGTGGTTTGCCGAGCGCGTGGACCTCATCATCCTCCTCTTTGACGCCCATAAGCTGGAGATCTCCGACGAGTTCTCCGAGGCCATCCGCGCCCTCAAGGGCAACGAGGACAAGATCCGGGTGGTCCTGAACAAGGCCGACATGGTGGAGACACAGCAGCTGATGCGGGTCTACGGCGCCCTGATGTGGTCGCTGGGCAAAGTGTTCAACACCCCCGAAGTGCTGCGTGTCTACATCGGGTCCTTCTGGTCGGAGCCCCTGATGATCTCTGACAACCGACGGCTCTTTGAGCTTGAGGAGCAGGACTTGTTCACGGACATCCAGAACCTGCCCCGGAATTCTGCCCTGAGGAAGCTCAATGACCTGGTCAAGAGGGCTCGCTTGGTCCGGGTAAGTCCTGGGAAGCTGAAGAAGCGGAAAGGGGGCGCGAGGGGGGAGGAGAAAGGCAGGAAGAAGGTCCAGCAAGAAGACAAGTCAAGAAATCAGCCAGGTAGTCAGTGACGCAGACCAACCTCATGAAGGACAACTCCCAGAATTCCTGACCCAGCATGGGGGAACTATGGCCTCCTCATGACTCGTGGACTTCAACTCCCAGAATTCCTGAGCCAGCATGGCTCAGCTTGGACACCTCTCCCTTTCCCCTCAGCATGGCTGGCTCAGGAATTCTGGGAGTTGAAGTCCACGAGTCATAAAAGAGCCAAGGTTGCCTACCCCTGCTCTATACTATTCCAGACAAATTGGCTGTCCGGTCTCTTCTTAAAAACCTCCAGTGTTGGCGCGCCCACAACTTCTGGTGGCAAGCTGTTCCGCTGGTTAATTGTTCCAATTGTAACTTGGAACAATCCCTAAACAAGTGGTTGTAAGTTGAGGCCTACCTGAACTCAGTTCTACAGAAAGAAGGAAATATATATATATATATATCCCTATTTGCCCATGAAGGCTTCCATTGTCGTGATGAATCTTCTACTGACTTCTCCTTGACCACTGGTGGAAGATTCATATTCCAATGGAACTGGAGGGCACAATGCTCCCTGGACATGAAGAAAACTTTTCTTCAGCATGTCTAGGGAGATGCTCAATCATCCAGGTTAGCACAGGTGCTTTTTCCAAAGACAACTGGACTTCGTTTTTCCTTGACGATATTTCATTTCTCGTCCAAGAAGCTTCTTCGGATCTGACTGGATGGTGGAGAATGGAAGGATTTATACTCTTTGCAGACAGCTGGTCATTTGCATCCTTTTAGAGGGTCGTTGAGGCCACTTGGAGGCTTCCCTGTGTCCTCGGGGTCACCTGAGTGGTGCAAATGGGTGTGGAGCCTTCTTGAAACTGCTGAAAGGACCGTGTTGCAGACTGGAGATGGACAATGTCGTGTCCCTCCCCCTCTGTTGAGGGAGGGATGTTCAGTTTTGACATCGATGGCCTCTTTGACCCCTCTTTCAAACCAGCGGTCCTCTCTGTCCCAGATGTGGACTTGGCTGTCTTCGAAAGAGCGACCTTTGTGTTTCAAAGGCAGATGGACTGCTGAATCTTGTCCTGGTGGGTTTGTCCTCCTGTGTTGTGCCCTGAGTTTGTGAAGTGGTTCTTTTGTTTCCCCGGTGTACAGATCTGCACGTGCCTCACTGCACATGTCACATTGTTCACTTTGTGTCTGGGGGGAGGGTGTTTCTCCTTGGGGTGGACCTTCTCCAGCATGCAAAAGAAGATAGAATTATCGGTGTTTCTCAACCTTGACAATTTTAAGGCATGTGGACTTCAACTCCCAGAATTGCTGGCTGTGGAATTCTGGGAGTTGAAGTCCACACGCCTTAAAATTGTCAAGGTTGAGAAACACTGAGATAGAGGAAGGAAGACAAGGCCGTCACAGTGGCAGGAAAACAACGCAATTCAGGTTCAGCAGAAAAAAAGTAGGATATAGGTTCCCCTGCTATGGAGAAAGCGGACAGATGGTGCCAATGGGAATGCCGTGGCTCTAAGCCACGGCCCGAAGGAGGCAACTGCACTCAGACGGAGTTAGCCAAGAGATCTTGCCCTCGGAAAGAAGGTTAGGCCGCCAAAGTCCAACGTGCGTCTGTTGTGAAAGAATGGCACAACAGACGTTCTTTTGCAACGGAATCCTCTGGGCCTTAAAGCCAAAAGCAGAGTTGCTTCACCAGCCCTGGAAGAGCGAGTGGAGGCGAGTCGGTGGATGGCCCAAGGGACGCCCCAGTTGTAGCAGCCTGGCTGAAGGGAAAGGCAGGCGCCACCTAGCAAGGATTCGTGAGTGAAGGAAAGGGGTTCCCCCGAGCCCCAAAATCTCATTGTAATGGGACAGGGAAAGCCAAAAGGAGAGAAAGAACGAGAGNCCCTCCCCCCTCTCTCTCTCTCCCTCCCTCTCTCTCTCTCCCTCCCTCTCTCTCTCCCTCTCACTGTTGCTCTCGCTCTCCCTTTTCCTCTCCCTCTACCTCCCTCCCTCCCTCCTCCTCCTTCTCTGGTTTTCCAATGAAGCGTTTCCAATGAGACTGCACCTCCAGAGCCTTGATTAAAGGAATGGCTGTGGCTTGATCATTCCAGGAAAAGAAGCCAGGCAGGAACAGAGGAAAAAGATTACGCACAAATGTATTGGTCCTTAAGTCGCATCATTTCCTAGCTGTAACATCCGCCCTTCTCTCCATGAGAACCGTCCATCGTTTTTTGTCCCCACCGAGGGACATGTTGTGTCCTTCGGCCAGCCAAATCGGAATCAGAGCCAGTTCGGAAAAGATCGTTCAGCGTGGTTCTCCATGGCCGAATCGCAGAAATCGTTTCCAGATTGAGTCAGCCTCTCGGCTCATCTAGCCAAGAACGATGTATATCGATTGATGGCCGATCTTCAGGATTTCAGCCTGATCTCAAGGTGCTACGTCACCTTTTTTTTTCAAATCGGGCAATTTTAAGATGTGTGCATTTCAAATCGTGGAATCAATTTTCATGCTGACTGGGGAATTCTGGGAGTTGAAGTCCACCCCTCTTAAACTTGCATGCTGACTGGGGAATTCTGGGAGTTGAAGTCCACCCATCTTAAACTTGCATGCTGGCTGGAGAATTATGGGAGTTGAAGTCCACCCGTCTTAAACTTGCATGCTGGCTGGAGGATTATGGGAGTTGAAGTCCACCCCTCTTAAACTTGCATGCTGGCTGGAGGATTATGGGAGTTGAAGTCCACCCGTCTTAAACTTGCATGCTGGCTGGAGGATTATGGGAGTTGAAGTCCACCCCTCTTAAACTTGCATGCTGGCTGGGGAATTCTGGGAGTTGAACTCCACCCATCTTAAACTTGCATGCTGGCTGGAGGATTATGGGAGTTGACGTCCACCCATCTCAAACTTGCATGCTGGCTGGAGGATTCTGGGAGTTGGAGTCCACACCTCTTAAAAAGTTGTCAAATTTGGGAAAAAAAGTGCGATAGACCCACCTTCCCCTTGCCATTCTCCAGCTTCCAGGGCCTTTCTCTCCGTGAGAGAGGCTTGTTCCTAGCAAGTGAACCAAACCAGAACTGGTTCATCTTGTTTGCTGAATGGCAGGCATGTTTTGTTCACAACAATGACAACATTCAATACCAATTTTGCAGGCATGCTTAAAATGAGCCGCAGACTAATTGTGCTCAACGTGCAGATGCTTACTTAATTAAACATTGTCTCACTGTGAAGTGGACTGGACTGGACTGGACTGGACCCCTTCCATCCCAGCGATTAATTTTGCAAAGGGGGCAGATCCAATTTTAATACTCTTCCTGGTGAGAGAGGGGATATTTCAGCCGAAACTCACATCAAAGGATTGGGGATCTTTGACCAAGAAATCTCCATGTTACCCTACTTGGTGTAACTTCGTATTTAACAGAATAACAGCGTTGGAAGGGACCGTGGAGGTCATCTAGTCCAACCCCCTGCTCAGGCAGGAAACCTTATACCAGTTCAGACAAATGGCTGTCCAGCCTCTTCTTAAAAACTTCCAGTGTTGAAGTGCCCACAACTTCTGGAGACAATCTGTTTTACTTGTTAATTCTACTCACTGTCAGGAAGTTTCTCCTTAGTTCTAGTTTAGTTCCTTGTTGAGTTTCCACCCGTTGCTTCTTGTCCTGCCTTCAGGTGCTTTGGAGAATAGCCTGACCCCCTTTTCTTTGTGGCAACCCCTCAGATATTGGAACACTGCTATCATGTCCCCCCTCATCCTTCTTTTCATTAAACCAGACATGTCCAATTGCTGCAATCGGTTCTTCATATGTTTTAGCCTCGACTGGCCTAATTATCTTTGATATAACTTTGCATTTAAAAAGGAAGGATTCTTTTTAATGCAAAGCTCCCACACCACCTGTGTCCTCCCCCCACTTTTTTTTTTAAACTGAACTTTAAATGCAAAGATTCATCAAAGAGCAATCTCAAAAGGGTGTCTTGGCCTTAAACGGGGCTGGACATTTGCAACTTAGGACAGCCTGTCACATATTATCCCGTGGGCAGGACCAGCATTAGTTTAACCATGGTAGTGATCCCAAGCAAGCCCACACTTTTTATTTTGGGACTGAAACTGGACAATCACAAGGCCTAGGGCAGTCATGGCGAACCTTTTAGAGACCAAGTGCCCAAACTGCAACCCCAAACCCACTTATGCATCGTCGGGTGCCGGGTGGGTGTGGCCCATTGGGTGGGTGTGGCCCATTGGGCGGGCGTGGCCCATTGGGTGGGCGTGGCTGCGGTAGTAACAGCAGACTGGGTGGGCCTAAAAAGTTCAATCAATCAATTCCAACTTTGCAAGATCTTTTTTTTTCCCGCGCGAGTTGAAATTGATTGATTGAACCTTTTTTTTTTTGCACATGGCGGCGGAGGCCTAAAGCGAAAAGGTTTTATAAAACCCAGCTGAAGGCCTAGAACTGGGGCGACGGCACGCGTGCCCACAGAGGGGGCTCTGAGTGCCGCCTCTGGCACCCGTGCCCTAGGTTCACCACCACTGGCCTAGGGAACTGCCTCCAGCTAGAGTCCAGAAAGAGGATTTAGAGAAATTGCAATAATCTGTTCATAGACAAAATGTGAAAACATTCCCCTGTCTTTTTAAAAAGGGATGGATGCCTGTGTTTATTTATGATAGGAAGGTGCTTTGAGCTGGGGTGTTTGCCCCCCCCTGCTCCCCCCCCCACTGCCCCAAAGCACAGGAACCTTCTGCTTTCGCCATTTTGCTTTCTTTCTCTTCCCAGACTTATCTTTTCCCGTCAACCTGAAAGGATGGATGATTGGTCTTTATCAAGACTCTTCAGAAGCAGTTTTCTCTTCTTTTAATTGACTTATTTTTAATGGACAAACAGCTTCTTTCTCCTGTAATTCCCTTCCCTCCCAGGTCCATGCCCACATCATCAGCCACCTCAAGAGGGAGATGCCGTCTGTCTTCGGCAAGGACAACAAGAAGAAGCAGCTTATCAACAAGCTGCCGGTCATCTTTGCCAAGATCCAGCTGGAGCATCATATTTCGCCGGGCGATTTCCCCGACTGCAACAAAATGCAGGTGAGGACAAGGTCACGTGAAAGGTCAATACCACTTTACAAGGCCTTGGTAAGGCCACACTTGGAATCCTGCATCCAGTTTTGGTCACCACGATGTAAAAAAAGATGCTGAGACTCTAGAAAGAGTACAGAGAAGAGCAACAAAGATGATTAGGGGACTGGAGGCTAAAACATATCAGGAACAGCTGCTGGAATTGGGGATGTCTCGTTTAACAAAGAGAAGGACAAGGGGGGGCATGATAGCAGGGTTCCAATATCTCAGGGGCTGCCCCAAAGAGGGAGTCAAGCTATTCTCCAAGGCGCCTGAAGGCAGGATGAGAAGCAATGGATGGAAACTGATCAAGGAGAGAAGTAACTTAGAACTAAGGAGAAACTTCCTGACAGTTAGAACAATTAACCAGTGGAACAACCTGCCTCCAGAAGCTCCAACACTGGAAGTTTTTAAGAAGAGACTGGACAGCCATTTGTCTGAAATGGTGTAGGGTTCCTGCCTGAGCAGGGGGTTGGACTCGATGACCTCCAAGGTCCCTTCCAACTTTATTATTATGATGATGATCAAAATTCAAGATGCTTGGCAACTGACTCATACCTATGAGTTTTTAAGAGACTGGACAGCCATTGGTCTGAAATGGTGTAGGGTTCCTGCCTGAGCAGGGGGTTGGACTCGATGACCTCCAAGGTCCCTTCCAACTTTATTTTTTATTATTATTATTATTATTATTATTATTATTATTATTATTATTATTATTATTATTATTATTATTATTATTATTATTATTATTATTATTATTATTATTAACGGAGCTGCTAGGGACCTTAGAGGTCTTCTAGTCCAGCCCCCTGCTCAAGCAGGAGACCCTATGCCATTTCAGACAAACGGCTGTCCAGTCTCTTCTTAAAAGCCTCCAGTGATGGAGCATCCACAATTTCTGGAGGGGAGCCGTTCCACCGAAGAATTGTTCTCACTGTCAGGAAATGTCTCCTTAGTTCCAGGTTGTCCAACCATTCTTTAACATCAAAGCTTCTAAGTTGCACAGGGGTGGACAGATGACTGAAGCCTTCCTCTCTGTTCTTCCCTGGTTCTTTTGCAGGAGATGCTGATGGTCCATGACTTCACCAAGTTCCACGGGCTGAAGCCCCGCATGGTGGAGACCCTGGACGAGCTGCTGACCCTCGACATTGCCAAGCTGATGCCCCTCTTGCGCCAGGAGGAGGTGGAGCTCCCAGAGCAGATTGTCCAAGGGGGAGCCTTTGATGGCACTCGCAACGGCCCCTTCATCGAGGGAGCGACCGAAGGCGCCTACGAGGGCATGGATGAGGACGAGTGGGTCGTGACCAAAGACAAGCCCAAGTATGACGAGATCTTCTACAACCTCTCCCCGATGGACGGCAAGCTGAGTGGCACCAAGGCCAAGAATTGGATGGTCACCACCAAGCTGCCCAACTCGGTGCTCGGGAAGATTTGGAAGTTGAGCGATGTTGACCGGGATGGCATGTTGGATGATGAAGAGTTTGCTCTGGCCAGCCACCTCATTGAGGTCAAACTCGAGGGCCACGGCCTGCCCTCTGACCTGCCCCACCATCTTGTTCCCCCGTCCAAGCGTCGGCAGAAGGGCTCGGCTGAGTAAGCAGCTTCCCGTGTTTGGCCCCGTCCTAACACCAGACTTGAATCGCTTCAGTAGGTGCTGGGTCTTCTCCAATTTATCCTTGAAGCAAACGTTCAGGCTTGAATTCTTACGAAGGCTTCACCTAGCAGCCGAGCACAGCGTTGGAAATCTGCTTTCTGCTCATCTCCTCTTCTTCAAGCCAGGCTTCCCGCTCAAACGTCTCCGTCCCTTCCGGTCTTTCAGCGATTCCTGTCCACCTTAAAGAACCTCATTTCCTCGTACGGAATCAAGCCAGTTGATCTCACAATGTCTACAAGTCTAAGTATCTCTAGTGTCAAGACTTCTCACAAGGTCTTTCTTCCTAGATAGAATCCAAACTCAAGCTTCATTTGCTTCCTGAACTAGCTAGAAATGTTACGTCCTCCGTGCCTAGTTCCAACTGTTCATTTAGGCCACAGTTTGGCCCACGTCGGACCCATCTCAGGTTTTACTTCCCTTTCCTAGTCCATGGCCAGATCTGCCATCGACCGAGGCTTCGGATGGTCTCGATCTTCTAGCTTTCTTTATCTCTAGTCTCACTAGAAATGGTCAACATCTTTTCTCCATTCCATCTTGCCTTTTGACCCCCGTTTGTCTACCACCCCCTTAGTTGATTGCTCCTCCCAGGACTGGTTCTTGAGGGACTCCCGTCAGCCAGTTGAAGGAAGCAGGACCAAGAGGGACCAGAGATAGGTGTCTGGAAGCAGTCCAGAACCACAAGCGGTGTCGATCCCAAAAAGCCACGGTTGAAGGTGGCATCTGAAATGATCGTAGATCAGTCTTTGAGATGCTTTCTTTCTGGAGCAGAAGCAATGGGATGAAAGCAGGGGTGTTCCATGCTGGTCCACTCTTTCTTCTCTCAGAACAGACTAATTGGAGGAGACCTTTCCCAAAGCAAGAATAGGCGATGAGAAGACTACGGTGAGAGGACACCGTGGAGATTGAGCCAGACCGAGGCCTACTCTTAGACAAATTCACACATCAGATCTGTGAGGGCATCCTTTTCCACGGAGGCCCACAGAATTGAGTGGTTGGTGAACTTCCCTCCAAATTCTTTTCTGCCTGTCACTGCAGCCGTTAGCTTGTACATCTAAACGTGGCTTCTTTTCCAACTCTAAAATGCTGCTGTGTTGCAGCATTCATGGGAGGAGACCGTAAGGACTTCTTCTGGAGATCAAGTGACCTTTCCCCTTTTTTTTTCTCGGGAGTTGGCCAAGGAGAAGACATGGCCCTTGGGATCCAGGACAATCCATCTTACGTTGCAGGGGACAAGCTCATCGCTGGGCTAGGGGGAGTTGAAGGAAGGTCCATCTCAAAAAAATCAGCAGTAGCTTTCAAGGAGAAGAAGAAAGAAAAAAAAGGGCAGAAAGAGACGAGAGGAAGTTGGGCAGGAAGAAAAACGAGAACCAGGTCCTTGGTTGGAAGAAAAAGCAGGAAGGGCATGTCCCCCAGGGATCTTTATCCAGCGAGGAAGCCACGGATGTGAAGTCTGAACTTCACTTGCAGGATACATCAGCAGTAGAGAGATCCTGACATTTCTCAGTATTGGCTAGAAGCCAACCTTTGGGGCAAGTCACAGCTGCCTCTCAACCACACACCAGGGCGTTTAAAGCTAAATGCAAATAATGTGTAGATTTTTCTTTAACGCCATAGCCGTGGGAAGCTTGAGCCGCTCAAAGCTGCCTAGCCAAAACCAGAACGATGTGCTGCCTTTGCATCCACACTCTTAACCTCACACCAAGTTGGACTTTCCTTCCAAAAGCCAAGTGGCTTTTAACATTCAGAGGCGAAACCACGGCATCCGGTCTCGCAAGAGGGATGCCATTCAGCTGACTCACTAATCAAGAAAAACACTAATCCAGGGGTATCAAACTGCCAGCCCACGGGCCAGATGCATCATATAGCGAATCCGCGCCCACCCCATTGCCGGCAACGGCAAAAAAAAAAGTCGCGACACGTCCCGTGACGTCGCGAGTTCGACACCCCTGCACTAATCCCTTCTGAAGGACCGTGGAAAGGAGCTATCCTTTGGTGCTTGACCCAACTGGAGAGCTCCATTTGGCGTTGAGGATAACTCTCTTCGTTTTGTCCTCCTGCATCCTTTGCAGAACTCTCACTGGGACCATCCAGGAGGATGAAAATGTCTTGCCCCTTGGGCTACCCAAGATGCTTCTTCAGGCCTGGGTGAGGATTGTACCAAACTAGGACATTGAGCTTAATTACCAGCATCACTATTCCGGCGTCACTCCAAGAATCCTGGGAATTCTGTCTCTACAAAAGACATCTCAATCACAAATGTGTCTAACAGTAAAAAGCAACAACAACCTGGAGACCTGTGGAGCAAAGAAGCCAAGGTGTGTGTTCTTGGTGTCTCTTTCTGAAGTTGATGGCAACACCCTGGGATTCCCTGGAGGACTGTGCATTTTGAGGAATCCCATCTGGGAATCTTACCATACTGGGCAGAAGACCCTTAAATTGTGGATGGATGAGCTTTCAACACTAGACTCTTGAAATAACGTGGGGTTTTTAACGGCCACTCGCTTTAGACTCATTTCTGGTATTGAGAGATCGACTGTCCCGACGGTCTAAATATTGTTGGGGGGGGGGCCTTTTGAAATACTCCGTTGAGCCATTGGGATATATTGCAGTGTGTACAAATAACCTATTTAGAATTAGGACTGAGTAGAGAGAAATATTACCAAACTCAAGCTTTCTATTTAAAAAAAAAAAGGCTAAGAAAAAAATCCATATATATATATATAGGCTATAGCAGTGTTTCTCAACCTTGACCATTTTAAGACATGTGGACTTCAACTCCCAGAATTCCACAGCCAGGTTGAGAAACACTGGGCTAAAGGATGTTGGAACAAGATTTAGAGACAGTCTCAGTTTCAGATACCGCTTACATGTATTTGTATGCATTTTCTTCCCCTGGCATAATAGCTTTTTAGCTGTTCTGATCAAGGAGACAAAAATGTTAAAAGGCAGGCTGGCAGTGAAAAAAGACTTAAGCACACTTCCAACCGTTTCTCTCCAGTGTTGAGATCTAGCCACTTGCTTTCAGAGAAGTGAAAATAAGCGATCAGATTCTCATGCAACTTGCAAACTTAATGTTAACAGAGGCACACAAAGGTATCCAGCCCCACATTGGCTTTATTAGTAAAACAAAGGTTTGATTCAGCTTCCGGCTGCCACGAAGATAAGGCAGCATCCAAACTTCCATTTATTCCATCCATACTTGTTTTTTTTTAAACTTTTTTCCCCCTGTAGTTAAATCTCTCACATTTGATCTGCTTCCTTTCCCCATTCACCCATCCATTTCTATAATGTATTGCTACAGCAAAAACAGCATGCATGCTATTATTATTATTTTGTTACCTGTAACACATTTTTGTTTTAATCTACCTATCTCGCTTGGAAGATGTCCTAGGGATGACTTGAGGCTGTTGGCGAGAGTCTGGGGACATTTTTTCCATGAGCAGAACTAAAGGAACAAAAATGGATCCTGGGTGGAGAGATTCAGTGTCGTGGCACCGCTTTTGAGTTCTTGTTTTTTTAAAAAATTCCTGTAAACTCCCTTAATCCACTGCACAGGCCTGGGTCCCATCTTATCACCAAGACCCACCTCCCAAAGTACGCAACCAGAACAACGATGCAAATTTAAAACATAAATACAAGTAGCCTTCAGCTTACGACCACAATGGGGGGGAGCAGAGTTTCCATGGCGAAAAGCAAGGCAGTCGTTAAACGACCCACGCCTGATTTTACCGCCTTTTTGCCACAGTTATTAAAAGAATTCTTCCAGTCGTTAAGTGAATCTTGTATTTCATTAAGCGAATTTGGCTTCTCCCGTTGATTGTGCTTGTGGGAAGCTGGCTGGGAAGTTCCCAGGATCCTGGAAGGCTGCAATGATCACAAAGATGGGTTGCCCAGCCCCCAAAGTTGAATCATCTGAACCGCGAAGATGCTGCAACAGTCATAACTGCGAGGACCGGTCGTAAGTCATTTTTTTCTAAATGGTTGCAAAACAAACGGTCATACGTCGAAAACTACTTGTATTTTGTTGTTGTTTGTTTATTTAGTCTTGGCTGGGTCCTTCTGCTCTCCCCAAAGGCCCAACAACATCCTATTCTGCACCTGCGGAGCGCGTCCCTCCCACTTCCAAAGAGGGGGGACCCAGATCCACACCCCCTTCGTTTGCACAGAGTTGACCCACTCACTGGGATGCTGAGGAAGCAGTGGTGGGATTCAAATAGGGGAACAACCGGTTCTCTGCGTGGATGTCGCTCCCGGAAGTCCGTTCTGGGCCTGGGCCACAAAAAATTAATGACCGGTTCTGCCGAAGTGGTGCGAACCGGCTAAATCCCACCATTGTGAGGAAGGAGAGGGTAGTTCCCCTATGGATGCTGAGAAGACTTCATCCCATTTGGGGGGGGCAGGAATGGGGACAGTCAGGATCTCTGGCTTAATAACCACCTTTGGCTGAGAGTCCGGAACTCAGGAGCCACACGAGCGGTTCCCACGACACGGCTCTGTTATTGTAGGAAGACTTCCGTTGGAATAAATATCGTATTTACCGATCTGAACCATGCCTGGCTGTTCACTGTGGATTGCTTTGCGCAGATATGGGGTGGCTGTCTCAACGGAATAAAAGAAGGGACCTTGGAGGTCTTCTAGTCCAACCCTCCGCTCAAGCAGGAGACCCTAAGCCATTTCAGACAAACGGCGGTCCAATCTCTTCTGAATAACCTCCGACTTCTGGAGGCAAGCCATTCCACTGATGTATATTGTTCTCACTGTCCGGAAAACAGGCTTCACCGAAAAAGGCTGGGGGATTCTGGGCGTCGAAGTCCACCCGTCTTAAAGTTGACACGGTTGAGTTACCCCGGTCTAGGAGTTACCTACTTTAGGTGCAAAGGCACCTAAAGTAGCACCCAAGCCATGCTTTGCACAAATAACATCCCAGCTGTGGTTGGAAAAAAAAACACACCACCATCTAGGACAGGGGTAGGCAACCTTGGCTCTTTTATGACTCGTGGACTTCAACTCCCAGAATTCCTGAGCCAGCCGTGCTGAGGGGAAAGGGAGAGGTTTCCATGCTGAGCCATGCTGGCTCAGGAATTCTGGGAGTTGAAGTCCACCAGTCATAAAAGAGCCAAGGTTGCCTATTCCTGATCTAGGAGATCGAGGGTCCTAATTTGGCTTGGAAAAAAACCATGTGCCTTTTCCAGAGCCCCCATCAAAGGTGGATCTAGCACAGTGGTTCTCAACCTTTTTAATGCCGCGACCCCAACTGGTTGTAAGTCGAGGACTAAACCGGTCGTAAGTCGAGGACTAAACCGGTCGTAAGTCGAGGACTACCCAACAGGTCGTAAGTCGAGGACTTTCCCTGCCAGGGAGCGCCACGCATGCGTGGTTCCGCCCCCTGCGCCGGCCGAGGCGTAGCTGGCAAGCGGCAGAGACGGAGCAGGCCGACCACCAGCTGGCCCAGCCCAAGGGAGGTAAGGCACCCGCCGGAAAAGGGGGAAAAAATGGTGGACAAAAAAAATGGCGGACAGCCTTGCATGGCGACACCCATGAAATGGTCGATCGACCCCAAATGGGGTCGCGACCCACAGGTTGAGAACCACTGATCTAGCACATCAAAGGTGGATATAGCAATGAGATGGCTGAGGAATTCTGGGAGTTGAAGTCCACAAGTCTTACAAGAGGTCAAGGTTGAGGACCCCTGCTATATATATACAGTATGGCCTTCAAGAATCCAGATGACCACTAGGTGGCAGCACAGACCAGACTCTGCCAGGGGAGGCCAATGTGACATCACAACCTGGACTTTTTTCCAGCCTGTTTTTCATAGAATCCAAGGCAGGAAGGGTCCTTAGAGGTCCTCTAGTCCCACCCCTTCCCCCATCCAAGGCCTTACACAGGTAGTCCTCCATTTACGGCCACAACTGAGCTCACAATTTCTGCTGTTAACTGAACGTTGCCCCATTTGACGACTTTATTTGCCACCATCGTTAAGTGACTCACGGCCGTTCTTAAATGAGGAACACGGTTGCTAAAGAAATCCGGCTTCCCCATTGATTTTTCTTCCAAGAAGGGGGCCAAAAGTGATCCCATGAGCCCAGGACGCTGCAACCGTCATAAATACGAGTCAAGCGTCCGAAGTTTGATCCCGTGACCGTGGGGGGGGGATGCTGCAACGGTCATAAGCGTGGAAAATGGTCAACGGTCACTTTTATTTTAGGGCCATTGTCCCTTTGAACGGTCACTAAATGAACTGTGGTAAGCCGAGGACTACCTGTGCTGTGTTATACCCCGTCTGACAGGCTACAGGAGGAATGTTGGGTTGGAAATGTTGGGTTCGGTCTGGCTGGGTGCAGCCCCGGAGCCCCAGCCTGTGAGTCAGCAGGGCCTGAGCTCCTGCCAGGCTCTCCCAGGCTGTCCAAAGGAAAAATGTTGCATTCTTTTCTCAGCTGGAAAAAAAAACAGGCGTTCCTTGGCTGTTCCAATCACGGGCATGGGGGCAAAACTCAGGCCTGGGAAGCATGGGGGGAGAAATAATAGGACAATGCTTAAATTCCCCCCTTTTCCGGTGATGGTGGAAAGCCTTTGGGCATGATTTTCAGCTGATTCCAAGGCCTGGCCTTGGCAGGGTTTGAGCTATTCAAGGTCTGAAACGCAGGAGGAAAGCCCAACATTCCCAGCATTTTTTTTAAAAAAAGCTGCAGCCTTGCGAAATATATATCGGCAAGAAACCAGAATGCTCTGCCGTGCTTGTCTGAAGGGAAATGGGAGTTATGGTCTTACGGATGTTGAGGATGTTGTTGCTTTAGTTTAAACACTCCGATGATGAGGAATGAGAACACGGCATACAATGGGCTAAGGAAGAGCAGATCTGTAGGCGCAGAGCTTGACAGAGAAACACTCCAGCATCTTTGGAAAGCGTTGGGTGTGTTTCCCCCACGGATGCCTGGAAAATACAGAGGTGGTTTGCAGTGTGTCAATCCCTCCAACTGAATGCAGGATATCCCTTTGCTGTGCGCGTTTCTGCCGTTCCTTCCTGATGGGTCTGCAATGCCCAAAGGTTTGCGTTTGGGGTTAGGAACAGAATCAGATTGTGCCAGCCTCTTTCCTGCAGCTTTTGCCCCCCTATGCGCACGACGGGACGGAGCGGGGATGGGAAAAGCACAAAATGAAACATCTGGTGCTTTCCTGTTTCCCTTGTGTCTTTCAGATTTTCCTTGAAAGAAAGAAAGAAAGAAAGAAAGAAAGAAAGAAAGAAAGAAGGAAGGAAGGAAGGAAGGAAGGAAGGAAGGAAGGAAGGAAGGAAGAAAGAAAGAAAGAAAGAAAGAAAGAAAGAAAGAAAGAAAGAAAGAAGAAAGAAAGAAAGAAAAAAAGAAAGAAAGAAAGAAAGNAGAAGGAAGGAAGGAGATGGGAATGAGAAGGAAGGAAGGAAGGAAGGAAGGAAGGAAGGAAGGAAGGATTGGTCTAGTGGAATTTTCCTCCAATGGGATTTTCCCATGCATTTTACCAGGAAACATAGATAGGTCAGGCTAGAAAAGTCAGTGCCCTCCTAACCATACCCAAGCACTCCGAATTTGTTGGCCATGTCCATTTTGCTCTATGAGTTCATGGTTGACCTAAGCCTAATTCTAGGCCAGCGTTTCTCAATCTTGACAACTTTCAGATGTTTGGACTTCAACTTCCCAAATTCCGCAGCCATCCGCTGCACAGTGTGAAACGGTTGCCTGCAATCTGGCTCTCGTGGAACCCACCAACGGCTTGCCTAACCCGTCTTCCCCACCTTTTCGCCCCCCTCCGGCTCACCCCAATTTCAATCCCACCTCAGTCTGCCCCTCCAAGCCTCAGGGGAAGTCAGCTGCCGTTGACAAGAGCGACTGCTCTTTCCTCAAAGTTTGTTGGGAAAGGTGCCACCAGACTCCTTCAGCTTTTAAGCCCTATTAAAAGCCAGGGCACGCATTATTATTATTATTGTTGTTGTTGTTGTTGTTTTGGACGCTGCCAAGATGATTTTTGACTTAACCAAGTGGGACCAAATGACCCATAGGAAACATTCCCCCACCCCACCAGTCCTCCTGTGCCTTCTGAAAAAACGGGCTGAGTCCGGAGCTAGAAAAACAGACAAATATTTTCTCTGCCTTCCTCAGCCACACCCAGCTCCGACCCAGTGCAGCTCCAAAGCGCTGGGGTCGGCCTGCCCCCTAGTGGCTGTACACAGAACTGATTATCCCCCGGGGTTTGGCTGTCCTCTGCACCCAAATTTCCAGAGCAAGGACAGACATTCATTCCTTGGGGGCTTTTAATAATAATAATAATAATAATAATAATAATAATAATAATAATAATAAATAATAATAATAATAAAGTTGGAAGGGACCTTGGAGGTCATCTAGTCCAACCCCCTGCTCAGGCAGGAAACCCTACACCATTTCAGACAAATGGCTGTCCAGTCTCTTCTTAAAAACTTCCAGTGTTGGAGCATTCACCGCTTCTGGAGGCAGGTTGTTCCACTGGTTAATTGTTCTAACTGTCAGGAAGTTTCTCCTTAGTTCCGGGTTGCTTCTCTCCTTGATCAGTTTCCACCCGTTGCTTCTTGTCCTGCCTTCAGGCGCTTGGGAGAAGAGCTTGACTCCCTCTTCTTTGTGGCAGCCCCTGAGATACTGGAAGACTGCTATCATGTCCCCCCTCATCCTTCTGTTCGTTAAACTAGACATACCCAATTCCAGCAACCGTTCCTTATATGTTTGTGTCATGGATTAGATTCGGAAAGTCTCACCCACCCCATCTATGGGGAGGCTCATTCCTCTAGGTCTTGGTTGTCCCAAAGATGCTTTTTTCAAGAGGCAACTGGACTTTCTTGTTTTCCTTTGAAGACGTTTCGCTTCTCGACCACAAGAAGCTTCTTCGGCTCTGACTGGATGGCGGGGAACAGAAGGATTTATACTCCTTGCAGACAGCTGGTCATTTGCCTTTTTTTAGAGGGTCGTTGAGGCCACTTGGAGGCTTGTCTGGGTATTCAGGATCATCGGAGTGGTGCAAATGGGTGTGGAGCCTTCTTGGAGCTGCTGGAAGGACTGTGTTGTAGACTGGAGATAGAGGATGTTGCATCCCCCCCCACCTGTTGAGAGAGGCCTGTTCAGTTTTGACACAGATGGCCTCTTTGACCCCTCTTTCAAACCAGCGGACACAGACAAACCTCCATGTGGCCTCAACAACTCTCTAAAAGACTGCAAATGACCAGCTGTCTACAAGGAATACAAATCCTTCCATTCGTTGCCCTCCAGTCAGAGCTGAAGAAGCTTCTTGGATGAGAAGCGAAACATCTTCAAATAAAGTCCAGTTGAAATCTTTGGGACACCCATCCCATCCCATCCCATCTGGTCTAACTGTCATCCTGTGATGCTCTTCTCTTCACTATTCCTGTTGAGCCTGTCCTTCTGGACCACTGTTTCTCAATCTTGTTGTTGTTGAAGTTGTGTCTGACCCATCGCGACCCCATGGACAACGTTCCTCTAGGTCTTCCTGTCCTCTACCATCTTCTGGAGTCCATTTAAGTTCACGCCTCCTGCTTCAGTGACTCCATCCAGCCACCTCCTTCTCTGTCGTCCCCTTCTTCTCTTGCCCTCGATCTTTCCCAGCATTAAGCCCTTCTCCAGTGAGTCCTTCCTTCTCATTAGGTGGCCAAAGTATTTGAGTTTCAACTTCAGGATCTGGCCTTCTAAAGAGCAGTCGGGGTTGATCACTTCTAGGACTGACCGGTTTGATCGCCTTGCAATCCAAGGAACTCGCAGGAGTCTTCTCCAGCACCATAATTCAAAGGCCTCCATTCTTTGTTGCTCAGCCTTTCTTATGGTCCAACTTTCACATCCATACATTGCAACTGTGAAAACCATGGCCTTGACTATACACACTTTTGTTGGCAGGGGGATGTCTCTGCTTTTTAGTATGCTGTCTACATTTGCCACAGCTTTCCTCCCCAGGAGCAAGCCTCTTTTAATTTCTTGGCTGCAGTCCCCATCTGTGGCGATCTTGGAGCCCAGGAAGATAAAATCTGTCACTACCTCCATTTCTTCCCCATCTATTTGCCAGGAATTCTCAATCTTAGCCACTTCTTTAAGATGGGTGGACTTGGACTCCCGGAATCCCCCAGCCAGCTGGACTACAACGCCCATCATTCTGGAGAAGAGCTATAGTCCAAGAGACAACTGGAAGGCACCAAGGAGCAGCGGGGCTGGAGCGCAGCTGCAACTGCATTCAACGCAGTGCCGGAAGTTTAAGCTTTATGCATTTCCCCCCGCCCCTCTTGTCTCTTTGTGGTTTAATGTGGTTTAATGCCTATCTCCTCCACGCAAATGGCGCCGTCCACCACCGGAAGCCGTCTTCCCCCTTCCTCGTTCGGGAGGGCGGCGCTCTTTCCCCCGCTCTTCCGGTTCTCTGTCATCCCCTCTCTCGCTTTCTCGTGGCGCAAGATGGCGGCGCCGGGCGCTGCTCCTGAGGCGGCGGCCGCTTCTTCCTCCTTCCTGGGCTTCAGCGTCAGTTCGCGGGACCCCAGCCGGCTCCCCTCGCGGCGGGTGGGCGGCCGGGGCGCCCGGAACCGCAAGAAGGGCTGGAAGCGCTGGCGGGGCCCCGAGGCCGAGCTGGGCCGGGAGCTCGGGGACTGGCTGGAAGAGCGGGCCTCGGAGCTGCGGCACTTGGGGTGAGGCGCGGCGGGGCCGAGGGAGGGCCTGTGGGAGGCATGGGGGAGAAATGGAGCCTCCGGGTTCGGAGGCAGTCTACCCCTGAGAGCCGGCATAGGAAAAGGCAGCCGCGAGGATGTGCTTCTGAGCATGCGCGGGCGCCCGCGACCCCAGGGAGCGAAGGGTTAACCCAGGGGTGGGGAACCTTGGCTCTTTTATGACTGGTGGACTTCAACTCCCAGAATTCCTGAGCCAGCATGGCTGGCTCAGGAAGTAATAATAATAATGATAATAAAGTTGGAAAGGACCTTGGAGGTCATCTAGTCCAACCCCCTGCTCAAGCAGGAGAACCTATATCGGGTAGGCAACCTGGGCTCTTTTATGACTCGTGGACTTCAACTCCCAGAATTCCTCAGCCAGCCATGCTGAGTGGAAAGGGAGAGGTTTCCATGCTGAGCCATGCTGGCTCAGGAATTCTGGGAGTTGAAGTCCACCCATCTCCGAGTGGCCAAGGTTGAGAAATACAGGCCTAGGCCAGGGGAAGGCAACCTTGGTTCTTTTATGACTCATGGACTTCAACTCCCAGAATTCCTGAGCCAGCATGGCTCAGCATGGCAACCTCTCCCTTTCCCCTCAGCACGGCTGGCTCAGGAATCCTGGCAGTTGAAATCCACGAGCCATAAAAGAGCCAAGGTTGCCTACCCTGGTCTAGGCCTGTATTTCTCAACCTTGGCCACTCGGAGATGGGTGGACTTCAACTCCCAGAATTCCTCAGCCAGCATGGCAACCTCTCCCTTTCCCCTCAGGAATTCTGGGAGTTGAAGTCCACCAGTCATAAAAGAGCCAAGGTTGCCCACCCCTGGTTGATCTCGATGAAAACGGCTTTGGAATTATACGCAGTTCTCGACTTAACGGCCGCAATTGAGCCCTGTTGCTAAGCGAGACATTTGAGGTGAATTTTGCCCCATTTTACGACCTTTCTTGCCACTGTGGTTAAGTGGATCACCGCAGTGGTTCAATAAGTAACCTGGTTGTTAAGTGAGCCTGGCTTCCCCCATTGACTTTGCTTGTCAGAAGGTGGCCAAAGGGAGTCACGTGACCCCGGGACGCTGCGACCATCATAAATATGAGTCGGTGGCCAAGCCTCTGAATTTTGATGGGGAATGCTGCCATGGTTGTAAGTGTGAAAACAGCCCTAAGTCACTTTTTTTTGGAACAGTCACTAAACAAACTGTTGTAAGTTGAGGACTACTTGTAATGGAGGGGTTCATGGTTGTGAAAGTCCTGAGGGCGTTTCAAGAAGAAGATCCCCCAGTGTTACAGTGGGGGAGAAGATGGCCGGCTGCCTTCTGTTATTGAGACCCAGGAATGTGTTAGCTCTTGATGAAAGACCATGAACTGTTTATATTTATTTTTTTCCCCAGAGGACCGGTGTCGGAAAAGCCAAACGAAAGCCTCTTCTTCGTAGATACCAGCACCAAACAGCAAGGTGAGAGGTTGCAACAGTGATGATGATGATAATTAATAATAATAATGATAATAGAGCTGGCAGGGACCTTGGAGGTCTTCTAGTCCAACCCCCTGCTGAGGCAGGAAACCCTATATCATTTCGGACAAATGGCTGTCCAGTCTCTTCTTAAAAACTTCCAATGTTGGAGCATTCACCGCTTCTGGAGGCAGGTTGTTCCACTGGTTAATTGTCCTCACTCTATGATGATGTTAGCCATTCAGTTGTGTCTGACTCTTGGCAATGGGCCAGGCCTCTCCACGTCTTCTAGTCTTGCATTAGTACTTTGAATTTTTCTCTGCTTTTGATGGTAACCAGCCACCCTGTTCTTTGGCGGCATGGTTTCCTTTTACCGCTAACTCTTCCAAACATACCAGTAATTGCTGTCTCCATGAATTTCCCCTCGTGACATGACCAAATTAAGTGAGGCGCAGTTTTGTGATTTTTGCGTTGTCTGGTGTTATGCATTCCAGTGTTTGTTAATCGCCTCTGCTGTCCAGGGAATACGTCGGAGCCTTCTGCAGCCCCATAGCTCAAAACGAGTAGATTTTCCTTTCTGTCTTGTTTTTTTTTTTTTAAGGTCCAACAAAACCTCAAAAATGAGAATGTAGAACTCAACTGAGGGAACAAGTCAATTAGACTTGAGGGAAAAGACTAGTCGTCATTTTGGTGGGTTATGCTATTCCTGCAATCTCTTTCCTTGAAATGATCAGGGATCCATTCTGATCGCTTCCCCTCTGGGGTGTTTTCTTGTCCGTCCCTTAGCTGGCACCTTGGAAATGGAGGTGTGCAGGATTTATTTATTCAATTTCTACAGCTGCCCATCTCTGTCATGGTTCCGACAGATGGAACTTTTAAAACCTTCAAGGCATTGTTTACCTTAAAGAATCTTTATTTTGAGTAGCATAGCATCGACATTGGTATAATCGAAGCCAAAAACTGAATTCCCCTCCTTTGGCACATAGTATCAAAGTACAATTCCCTTCTCCAATTAACAGCCATAAATCACATTCCCCAATTAGCTTGAAGCCAGCCCGCCAATTTCTTATCAGCTCTGGTTACAATAACCTTGTTTCTCACACTGGGTCCAGTGTTGTTATGTCTAGCTCAGTGTTTCTCAACCTTGACAATTTTAAGGCATGTGGACTTCAACTCCCAGAATTCCACAGCCAGCATTGCTGGCTGTGGAGTTCTAGGAGTTGAAGTCCACATGCCTTAAAATTGTCAAGGTTGAGAAACACTGGTCTAGCTGGAGTCTCGTTCACATCCCCCCTCCCAGCATCATCTAACGCCAAAAGCAAAAGGTAAAAGATGGCTACATTTCCATTTGTCGTCAATGCAAAAACATCCGACGTTAACAGCGTTGAAATCAACCAATGACTCTGGGCAGCTGACAATTCAAAAAATATATTTCAATTCAAACACTGAAACGTTTTAAAGCAATTCAAAATTAAGGTTTTTAACAATGGCCATGATATTCTTAATGAAAACATGGCGATGCTTTCCTTGGCTTCCACTCCCTTCGGTGCCACTGGCAAGTAGAGTTTTTGACAAGAGACTTTGGAGGCAGAGCACAGTAAGGGAAAAAGATCTAATCAGGTGGTTCCACTACAAGAGTCCCAGCCCTCACCTTTGCTGTTAACCACTCCCGGTGTTGATTTATGCTCCTGGGTTCATTTCCTGCCTATCTTCTTGTTCCAGGTCAGAAAGAGAAACCAGCCAAAGAGAAGCCTCTGAAGATTGACTTGATCCTACAGCCAGATTCCAAGGTCCCTCCACCCAAAAAGTTGAGTTTTCTCTCCGTCTTTCATTGTGAGATGGGTCTGGGGAAGCCAGCATCTTCATTCCCTTTCAGGGTCTTTGTCTGTCATGTTTTGGGGCCCAGGATGTTTGATTCGGGGAAGGACAATATAGGGCAGAGACAGGAGTCCTTATTTTAATTGATTTGTTGGCCTCTTCACCTTGCAACTTCAGTGTGATCCAGGGCTGCTGAAAAAGTGAAAAACTGAAGAAAACAACCAGTCCCCTGGTTCCTTTTGTTTGTCATCTTGTGAAATATTCAGATTCCATTTCTGAGTTTTTATTAGGTTAGAAGATTGCCGCCCTTCTTCCCTCTGTCCCTTGTGGTCTGCCCGGATTCCAAAATTTCTCCAGTATAACTGACTTTTCAGGGAATCCATTTTGATTGCCTGGAATCGTCTTTGAAATGCTGTCTTTTTATAGATCGTCCTCAACGACAACGCTTGAGCCCAAAGTTTATGTTGCTAAGTGAGGCAGTTATTAACTGAGTTTTGCCCCCATTTTACGAGCTTTCCTGCCACAGTTGTTAAATGAATCACTGCCGTTGTTAAGTCAAACGGTGGCTAAGTGAATCTGGATTTCCCCGTTGACTTTGCTTGTCAGACGGTCGCAAAAGGGGATCACGTGACGCTGTGGCCGTCATTACTATGAACCAGCGGCCAAGGGTCGGAATTTTGACCATGTGACTGCAGTGGATGCTGCAATGGTCATAACTCCCTTTTTTCAGTGCAGTTGTAAATTTGAATGATCACTAAATAATAATAGTAAAGTTGGAAGGGACCTTGAAGGTCATCTAGTCCAACCCCCTGCTCAGGCAGGAAACCCTATACCATTTCGGATAAATGGCTGTCCAGTCTCTTCTTAAAAACTTCCAGTGTTGGAGCATTCACCGCTTCTGGAGGCAGGTTGTTCCACTGGTTAATTGTTCTAACTGTCAGGAAGTTTCTCCTTAGTTCTAGGTTGCTTCTCTAGATTGTTGTAGATTGATTGTAGATTGTTGCTTCTAGATTGTTGTAAGTCGAGGACTTACAGTGCTCCTCGTAGTCCTGCTTCCAAAAATTGAGATTCTTCTGGGAGTTGTGTCTGAAGAAATGGCCCCATTGTTGCCGTCTTCTTCAAATAGAAGATGTTGCAACAAGCATTCAAACCCTTCGGCCTGCAGGGAAAGGATTTTGATCCAGCACCATGAAACCACTTCAGTTTGTGTCCTGTGATTGATGGCTTAGCGCTGGGTGTGAACTGTGCCATTCTAACTTGTTTTGAACTATACCTGGACAGAGTGTATTTATCCAGGCTGTGGCTCAGACCTAAACCTTGCCTTCCTCTTCCTCCTCCTCAGCATCCTTTCGTATCAGGTCCCCAATGGCCGGAAGTTGAAACGGAAGCAGCGACTCTGGGAGAAGCTGTCAGAAAAGGGGGTGGTGCCCCGAAAAGAACGGCTCCTTCAGCAGAGGTTACAAAACCCACCAAAAGCCAAAATAGTTGGAGCAGACAGTGGGACCGATCCCTCTCGGGAGTTCTACGACATTTGGGCAGATTCAAGTAAGCCTTTGGATATTCAGTTGACAGCCCAAGTTCAAGTCCGTTGAAATCGGAGCGAAATGAAAGACATTTCTGACTGGCCCAAAGTTGCCCAGCCAGCTTTCATGCCTAAGGTGGGACTAGAACTCCCCGTCTCCTGGTGATTGGCCCAAAGTTACCCAGCTGGCTTTTATGCCTAAGGCGGGACTAGAATTCCCAATCTCCTGGTAATTGGCCCAAATCACTTGGCTGGCTTTTATGCCTAAGGCGGGACTAGAACTCACCGTCTCCTGGTGATTGGCCCAAAGTCACCCAGCCGGCTTTTCTGCCTAAGGCGGGACTAGAACTCACCGTCTCCTGGTAATTGGCCCAAATCACTTGGCTGGCTTTTATGCCTAAGGCGGGACTAGAACTCACCGTCTCCTGGTGATTGGCCCAAAGTCATCCAGTCGGCTTTTCTGCCTAAGGCGGGACTAGAACTCACCGTCTCCTGGTGATTGGCCCAAAGTCACTCAGCTGCCTTTTCTGCCTAAGGCGGGGCTAGAACTCACCATCTTCCACTTTCTAGCCTGGTGCCTTAACCGCTAGACCAGTGATGGTGAACCTTTTAGAGACCGATTGCCCAAAAACTGGCCTCGCCCCTGCTCTGCCCCCCCTGCCCCGCCTGCCCTCAGGGCCACTCACCACCTCCAGGGCCCACCGCAGATCGCCCAGGCAGTCCAGCAGCGCCATGGCGGCCACACCCTCTGCCCGTAGCCCACAGCATCAACTGTGCACGATGGGGTGTGAGAGCAGAGTCTTGTCTGCGCTGCCTGGCTGCCATGTCCTTGGCTGTGCTGCTCCATGTGGGCCACACTCCGGGGGCGACTCTCCTCCAGGGGGGCTGCTGGAGAGGAGGGGGTCGCGGGGGAAGGCAAGGCTGGGGCAACAGCACATGTGCCCACAGAGAGGGCTCCGAGTGCCACCTCTGGCACCCGTGCCATAGGTTCGCCACCACCATGCTAGACCGAACCGGCTCTCGTTTTTCTTCCCATCAGACCCGTTTGATCAAGCTCTAGCTGGGCAGGACGCCTTTTTCCTGGAGCAGACCAAGAAGCAGCCTGTGCAGGTAAGGGCCGGGCCTGTTCCGTGGCGGAGGTGGGAAGTGGCCTGCAGGCTCTGAGTCTGATGTTCCCTCCAGCGTCCGGACAGGCTGAAGAAGACCCCATCCGAGCTGCCAGCCATGGAGATCATCTCCCCGGGTGGATCTTACAATCCCAGCTTCCAGTCTCACCAGGTATTGGCAACAGTGAAGGCCGGCGGGTTTATTTCCCTCCCGTCCGGCACTTGAGAATCCCGAGCCACCCATTGGGGTGGGCTTCCTGCAGGGTCCCAGGTGGGAAGTCTGCTGCGGTCTGCGTGAAGAACTCACTGGGTGTGTCGTCTTCTCTTGCCCCACTCCCTCCCTCCGCCCCCAAGGCATTGCTCCTCCAGGCCTTCGAAGCGGAGCTGGTGAGGCAGAAGGCAGCAGAGAGGCTGCAGCGCCAGTTGAATTTCCCCACCGCCGCGGAGGCCCCCACCCAGGTGAGTGCCGAGGCCCAAATGCAAGGAGGCCCAGTCCCTAACAAGGGCTGAATTTCATCTTGAATCCTTCTTGGGGATAAATAGCAACAGAATTATTCCTAGAGGAGATGACAATGATTGGAGGAAGGACTTTCCCAAAGTTGGGGTCACAATTCCGATCGTTTCCTCCTATTTTCCCGACAACAACAGTCCTGTGAGGTTGGTTGGGCCGAGAGAGACTGGCCCAAAGTCACCCAGGTGGCTTTCAAGCTTAAGGCGGGACTAGAACTTGCCACCTCCCGGTGATTGGCCCAGAGACATCCAGCTTCTATGGCTAAGGCGGGGCTGGAACTCCCAGTCTCCTGGTGATTGGCCTAAAGCAGGGGTAGGCAATCTTGGCTCTTTTATGACTGGTGGACTTCAACTCCCAGAATTCCTGAGCCAGCCGTGCTGAGGGGAAAAGGAGAGGTTTCCAAGCTGAGCCATGCTGGCTCAGGAATTCTGGGAGTTGAAGTCCACGAGTCATGAGGGGGCCATAGTTCCCCCATGCTGGCTCAGGAATTCTGGGAGTTGAAGTCCACTAGTCATAAAAGAGCCAAGGTTGCCTACCCCTGGCCTAGGCCTTGGCCGCTTTATGACTGGTGGACTTCAACTCCCAGAATTCCTGAGCCAGCATGGCTCAGCATGGAAACCTCTCCCTTTCCCCTCAGCATGGCTGGCTCAGGAATTCTGGGAGTTGAAGTCCACCAGTCATAAAAGAGCCAAGGTTGCCTACCCCTGGCCTAAAGTCACCCAGCCGGCTTTCATGCCCAATTTCTAGCCTGGTGCCTTATCCACCAGACCAAACTGCCTCTCAGTTTCGTAGAGACGGAGTTGTGCATAAAAACAATAAAGGCAAAGTATGCAATTAAATAAGATGTCTCAAGGTGGAAATCCCCAGGAATCGATAGGATGCTTCTCCTTCCCCTTTGCTAAAGCCAGTCTGGCTTTGGGCGCCATGATAATACGCCTGCCGGTCCCTTGCCTGCCCCTGGGCTGGCCTTGGACTCCTGGGCAGGCTTGCGAAGGATCTGATTCCTGCTTTTTGCAACTGAGTGTTGGACCGGAGTGGAGAATCTGTTGGGAGCACGAATCCCAGAGACCAGACTCTGACGGGACGGGACGGCCTGCCCTCCGATGCTTCTTCCCCTTTCAGCTTCTCCCCTTCTGACCTCTTCGCAGGAGTCGGTGTTTCAGGAGCAATGCGAGGGCCTCATGGAAGAGGAATCGGAGGGCGAGGAAGGGCAGGACAGGCCCCAGAAGGAGGAGGACCCGCAGGCAGCCCCCCACCAGGCAGTCTCCCCTCTCT